GGGCGGCGTGGTGGGCGCGATCGCGGCGACGGGCGCTCGCGGCTCTCGATCATCCAGTCCAACTTTGAGAAGAAGGCCGAGGCTCGGCTCCGGTCGCAGTGGCGGCGGCGCAACCCGGATACGCCGATGAGCGAGTTTGACCTCGACGACGCTCGCGAGGCCATGCGTCTCGGTGCTGGCTTTACTGGCAAGTCGGTCGGGCTCACGGACGTGCTCGGCTCAGAGGGCGAGCTCCCCAAGGCCCGCGGCATCTCGCCGTGGATCGGCTACGCGGTCACCTCGTCGGCACGAGCGAGCAAGACGGTGCCGGCCGGACAGGCGATGCCGACCGGGGATCTGCCGGCTGCTGCGGCTGCGGCTGCGGCTGTGCTCGCGGCCAACAAGACGGTTGCGCCCGAGCAGCTTGCCTTTGTGGTCAACGCCATGGTAAAGACGCTCTAGCCTGTGGCTGCGAGCGACGGGTCCTTGAGACCGAGCAGCACCATGCCCTTGCGGGCCTTGGAGGCGGCGTCGCAGAGCGCTTCCTCGTCGTCGGCGGTCCAGTCGGCAGCCTCGCGCGATGCGGCATACAGCGCCTTGAACGCGTTCTGGTCCGAGTGCCCGCCGACGACAACCATCAGCGCGTTGGGCGGGAGCGCGTCGTGGATGGCAGCGACGGCAGCGTCCATGGATGCGAGCACCCTCGGCCGCGCCGTGGCCACGTCGAGCTCCGGATTGCCTGCCGCGGCTCGGTAGTGGCTCTCAAGATCGTGGAACTGGGTAAAGATAAAGGCGTAGCCGGGCTTGCCTGCCCGCGACGGCGAGGTCTTGCCGATGGCCTTGAGCGTGGCGGCGAGGACATCGTCATCGTTGGTGCACGGCAGGGCGTCGACCGAGCCGGCGGTGTGAGCGTTGACGAGCGAGACGCGGTCGATGAGGGCGGAGGGCGCGGAGCACCGGTCAAGGTGGGTAAAGATCGACTCCGAGTCGGCCAGGTACTGGCCAAAGTCCGGGCCCTCGGAAATCTTGAGGAGCGCGAGCTCGAGCGCAGCGTGGGCGTCCTCGGCGCTGTCGTGCCCGGCGGAGCCACCAGTCTGGATGTTGCGCTTAAGGTACTTGGCTACCAGCGAGCGGAGCGAGCGCTTGTGGCGCGGCCCCCGCGAGTCTGGGAAAAGCACTGCAGTGTCGATGACTCGGCGGTGGATGAGCTTGAGGGCGCGGAGATCGTTCTCCAGCGAGTGGCCGACGAGGACAGCGTCGGACGGTACCAGCGCGAGCAGCTCGTTCTGCACATCTACCAGCCGCTTGGTCACCGGTGCAAGCATAGCTGGCGTGATGCCCGAGTACTTGGTGACGTAGTCAACGATGCGGTTGGTCGGCTTAACCAACTCGTCGTACACAACGTCGAATGTCGAGTTGACGACGGTGATGCGGGCAAGCTCGAGCTCACCACCCTCGGTCCGCACCATCTCGCAGTCGAGGGCAAAGATCGGGACTGGGGAGCGGTATGCGTCGGGAGTCTCGGCCACGGCGTCAGGCTCGGGCGGTCGGCTCGAGCCTGTCGAGCGGAACTCGGGATCGTTGGCGGCGGCGCCGTCAAGCGGGTACTCATGGGCGATCCTGTCCTCGTCGGTGAGGCAGTAGTAGAGGAGCGGAAGCGGGCCGGCGAGCGCGCGGGTCAGGAGCGAGCTGCGAGCATTGAGCTTCTTCGCAGCCTTGTCAGCCTTGGTCGTCTTGGAGGCCTTGACCGGGATGTTGAGCAGCTCGTTGAGGAACGAGTAGACCCGCTTGCGCGATCCGGGCGCCCGCGACACGAGGGCGTGCGGAAAAGCGGACGTTGAGGTCAGCAGCGGCATCGTCGTTGACGCCGTCGGCGCGAGGTACGCGTCCGGCCCGAGCGAGTTGATCATGACCACAACCACCTGCGGGATGCGCGACTTGTTACGAACAAAGATCCACGACGGCATGGCGCCCTGCCCGAGCACCCAGAGGATGAGTGCCTGGACGTCAAACGGCTTGATGAGCCCCAGCGCGTTGTCGCTCCCACCGTTTCCGCGGCGCTTGAGCTTGGTCTGCCGGATCTCGAGCTCAGGCGGGCCGAGGATGGAGGCCGCTGCCGCCGCTGACGCCGACGCCGATGCCGAGAACAGTCCATCGCCCGTCAAGGAAATCGCCCCGCCGGCCCCCGCAGGCAGCGGCATCGGAGCCATCGGAGCCATGGAAATGTCGCCATGGCGGACGCCAGACTTGCGAGCCTTCTTGGCCAGCTTCTTGGCCTTCCTCCTCGCTTTGCGGGCCTCTGCAATCTCTGCCGGACTCGCCATCGGCGCAGCCGTCGCAGCCGTCGCAGCCGTCGCAGCCGTCGCAGCCGTCGCAGCCGTCGCAGGCGACTCTGCTGCTGCCGGCACCAGCGGCTTTGCCTTCTTCAGGGGGCTCTCCTGGGCCACAGAGTCTTCCAACTTGCGCTTCTTTGCCATGCCAACCTCCATACTAGCCTCCACCTTGTATTCCTTCAACCAACACTGGCGACAAGTGGACGACCTGAGCATATCCCCCTTCCCGTCTGACCACCTCCTCCCCGGCAGCCGAAAGCCGAGACGAGATGGATGGATGGGGAAGGAGGGGAGAGGGGGGGGGGGAGGGGAGGGGGGGGATGGGTAAGAGGATCAACGGCATGCCATTGATGACCATCGGTCAGCCATGGGGTCGGATCGTATTGGATGATATATCTTCGCCCTTAACCTTACCCAATCCCCCTGTCTCTGTCCCCCTGTCCCTGCCCCCGCCCCTGTCGCTGTCCCTCTGTCCCTTGCCCCTGCCCCTGCCCCTGCCCCTGTCACCCTCTCTGTCCATCAACCGTCCGTTGCCGTCTCTCGCCCTCGCCGCCCCCCCCCCCCCCCCCCCGCGCGCCCCTATGTCTGAACACACGGGTCATGGGCAAGACCATCTGTCTCCATCACCCATTCCACAGGCTGCCTCTGGCTTTCCCTACACTGTCTCGGGCACGGGTGGACTGGTCGACTCGCCGCTGACTCGGCAGAGGAGGCAGGGATCGAGGAGGTTCTCGCCGAGGAGGTCAACTCCTCCCATGAGAGGTACTGGTACTTCATCATTGTCATCAACTTTGGTGTCTCCGCCTTTGGCTTCGGCTTCGGCTTCGGCTTCGGCTTCGGCATCGGCATCGGCTGTGGCATCGACCACACGCATGGGTATGCTGTCGTCGAGATCGAGATGGAATGCTCGGGTCGAGGCCCGCAAGAGAGAGATCCTCTCTGATCTCGAGTCGTCGCTTGTGCTCGATCGCATTGCTGCAGAGTCAAAGGCGAGACGGGCTCGTGCTTTTCGCGCTGCTCCTCGAGAATCCATGCCACAGATGGGCATTCAGTATCATCCGCGTCGTCGCGCTGTCACCCGATCGGTCTCGCCTGATGGCCGTGCCTCGCTCGTCGTCTCTGTCCCGCAAAATGAGCCGGTGCAGCACGGTGAGGTAGGGAGGCAGCGGGAGCGGCGGCGAAAGGGCTCGCCGCGTCGGCGGCGGAAGCGGGAGCGTGGGCGCGAACAGAATGCGTCGCGGTCGCGGTTCAATACTACGGCCACGTTTGTGTCGGCGTCAGACGATTCCGATTCGTGGGACGTCGATGAGTATCACTCGGCGTCGTCGGACGAGGCCAAGCTGCGGCGCGCGCGTGAGCGCTCAATTGAGCAGCTGGAGGAGGCCGAGTCGCTTGTTCGCAAGGGCATCGACGTGGCCGGCGCCATTGTCGACGAGCAACTGGCCATCGACATCGCACAGCGCGAGGCCGCTGCCGACGCGACAGCGGCCCGCAACGCGCTTGTGGCCCAGGAGCGCGAGCTCGATGCCCGTGCTGCGCGGCTGGACGCCGCGCTCCGCGACCACGAGGTGACGCAAGCTCGAGCGGACGCCGAGTTGCAGCAGCGGCTGGCGAGTCTCGACGCCGCCGAGGCCCGGCTCGCTGCCCGAGCTGAGGTTGTCGACCGCGAGGCCCAGGCCTTGGCGCTGGAGCGTGAGCGTGCGCTCGAGCTGGCGCGCCATGCCGAGTTGAAAGACGACCTGCGCGCCGCGGTCCGTGAGGCCCAGGCCGAGTCAGCCGAGCACATGGCGAGGCTTGAGGCGCGCCTGGTGGCACAGGACGAAGCTGTGGCGGCCCGTGATGCCGCTGCTCGCGAGGCATCATGGCGTGAGACACTAGAGGCCAAGGAGCACGCCATTGCGCAGCTGGAGACTAAGCTTGCGCAGGTAGATGCTGACGCGCGCGAGCGCCGGGCAGCCGATCGCTCACAAGCGCAGCTTGACGCGTTTATGGCTGCATCGCAGGCGCAGGCAGACCGGCTTGAGCAACAGCTGGCTTCGCAGACCGAGGCGCAGATGCAGGCCGCGGCGGCGGCAGCGGGAAGAGTGCCGGCTGCGCCCACAACTGCTCTGGATTCGGCTCCACGCAACGACGCGGTCCTCCGGCGGCTTGACGACCAGACGCACATGCTACAGGCCCTGGTAGACCAGACGCGCGAGGCTGTGCGGCAGGGCACCCAGCCGTCGGCGCCCGGCCCGACGGCTGGGAGCGAGGGCAGTACCCAGGTGCTGCAGGCGTCCATGACGGCCATGTCCGCAGATATCAAGGCTGCGCTTGCGCAGCAGTCGTCGCAGCTCGGAGCGGCCATTACTCAGGCGCTAGGGCAGCTGTCGCGGACGCCGGCACCGGGACCTACGGCCGCAAGTGTCGCGCCAGCTGGCGCGTCGGTGTCACAGTCTATGGCGCAGGTTCGCGAGATGATGCAGATGCAGACCGAGATCCACGACTTGCAACGTGCGCTGCAGGATGCAGAGCGGCGGGCTCTCGACGCAGCAGCCAAGACCGAGGCCGAGGCGCGGCGTCGTGAAGACGCGCTGCGGATGGAGCTCAAGTCGGAGGTGGCGGCAGCGGCGGCGGCTGAGGGGAAGGAGCTTGCAGCGGCGCAGCACGAGCTCGAGCGTGACGCTATGCACAGCCGCGAGGCGGTCAAGCTTGAGATCGCCGAGCTCCGCCGGATGGTCGAGGGCGTGGCAGCAGAGGAGGGCGCGCTGAAGGCCAAGGTCGACTCGGCGCCAGTCCAGACTACCCGGGGGAGAACGGATGAGGAAGGTCAGGTTGCGCAGCTCCTTGCGCAGCAGCTGCAGGTCATGGAGGCGCGGCTGCATGATCTGGAACGCGATGCAGGAACCACTGCGAGCACGACGCGAGCCAAGCTGGAAGAGCCCGAGGGTGCGGTGAAGAAGGAGGCAACCCAGGAAGCCAAGGCAGTGCGGATTGCGCAGTTGGAGGCTGCGCTGGCTGCCGAGCGGTCGCAGGCCGGTACGTCTGCAGGGGCGGGGACGAAGTCTGTGACACCTAGCGCTCGCGGCGAGGCCCAAGCTTCGCTTCCGCGTGCGGCGGCTGATCAGATCAAGGCTGAGGTGCTTGAGCAACTGGAAGCGTCGTTGGCTCAACAGAGCGAGGCGCAGGCAGCGCTGCGGCGCCAAGTTGAGCAGCAGGGCGCGGGGCTTGAGGCGCAGGCAGCGCGGATGGTTGAGCTGACGGGAGCAGTCTCGACGCTCTCGTCGGGCCAAAAGACGCTGGTCACGACGCTGGAGCAGGTTGCGGGCTCCGAGGCTGCGACGCATGCGCGTATTTCCGAGCTGATGCAGGCACAGGCTGCGGCCGACGAGCGGCTGACCAAGTCGCTGCACTTGGTCGTCGACCAGGTCAAGGCATCGCAAGCGGCGCAGGCAGAGGCGTTTGCCAGCCAGGTCGGCAAGCTGGCCGAGCACCAGGAAAAGATTGCTTCAGCCGAGGCCGAGGCGCTCGGGCAGCTCGCCAGCGCGCTGCGCGCTACCGAGGAGCGGGTGGCGGCGGAGCTGGCCAGCCAGAAGGCGACGCTCGCCGAGGCTGATGCGCGGCAAGATAAGACGGTGCGCGCACTGGAGCAGATGTACGAGATGCAAGTCCAGACACAGACCAAGCTCGCCGCTGAGGACGCCAAGTTCCGCGCCATTGAGGACAGGTTCGCTTCGCTCGCCTCTGCGCTCGAGCGGTTCCAGCACGTCGAGGCTGCGCTCGACACTCGGGTTGCGCGGGCCGATGGCTACGCCGCCGACGCCGGGCAGGCACACGCTGACGATCTGGCCGCGATCCAGACCGCCACCCACGAGTTTATCGATCGCCATCTCACGGTCGACAATGACAGTGCTGAGTCGTAAAACATGCACAAACACAACTGTCCAACGTCACGGACGGTACCGTCGACCGTTTTGCGGCAGTGGTCAACAACCATGTCCAACATGATTATCATCAATGTAAAAGCAATGATGTCACCCACATGCATTGCAAGTCAATCAGGCATTCGTTCGTAATGGTGGTCATTACGTAGAATTGCACATTCCCACCCAAATGGCGCCATGAACAACGACCATGATATGGCGGCAAGGAGCGACGGCGGCAGGGGTGGTGCACCTGGGTACACTTTACCCTTTCGCGCCACCCCCTTACACATATGCGGTACGTCTTCCCCCTCACCACCACCACCCGTCATTCTCCTCCCCTCCCTCCTTCCATTTCCATCCTCTCTTGCCTATACCAGCTGCCATGTATAGCCGGCCGGGCGCGACCAGCGAGGCCAAAAAAATATGCAACGGCTGCTTGGATCACCTTCCAAGGCGACACGCGTGGAAGGGGAGGAGGGGCCCTTGCCGCGGGCTGGACGGCTTGGCAGAGGACCTTTGGGGCGTGCTATGGACATAGCCACCGTAGTTAGCATGGATTGCACACTCTGGTGTGGTTAATGCTGCATAAGGTGGCGTCTTTCGCCTAGCTGGCTCCCCTATGGGTACCCCCTCCCGCCACAATGGGCGCCGTCTGTGGCCCAAAAAAATCAAGCGACTGGCAAAGGCAGACGGGGTAGTCTGCCCCCTGTCACCCCCCCACCCACCCACTCACCCGCCCCTTCCCCTTGCTCACGCCTCGTCATACCTGCAGCCGAACTGGTGCCGTCCTCGCACTCTGTGCGCTGGCGCTGCTGGCGATGGTGAACGTGGCATCGGCCCAGCTGCCGCCGCCGCCGCCACCTCCGCCGCC